CGGCATGGAGGGAAAAAAAAAGAGAAGGGGGAATCTCCACCTTTTCGGTTTCTGGTTTGGGTAAGTGAAAAAGATGCAACAGTTTGGGAAACATTAAAGGGGAAGATTTCTAAGAGTGAGATAATGAACCTACAGCTTTACTATGTGCATTTGAGAACGTTCCTGAGAAACATTTGGGTGTGGCCAAAGGAAGACTATCCTATAAGGCAGTGGTTCTCAACCTGTGGGTCGCGACCCCTTTGGGGGTCGAACGACCCTTTCACAGGGGTCGCCTAAGACCATCGGAAAACACATATATAATTACATATTGTTTTTGTGATTAATCACTATGCTTTAATTATTTTCAATTTGTAACAATGAAATTGGGGGTCACCACAACATGAGGAACTGTATTAAAGGGTCGCAGCATTAGGAAGGTTGAGAACCACTGCTATAAGGAGACTGGGACGTGTCCAGAGACCAGGAGAGAGTGGTACTACGAAAAGTGGTTAAAGGGAAGCTAAGCATCTCTCCCCTCCCACTCACCTCACTGAAGGTATCAATGCTTACAGCCTGTGTATTCCTTCCCTACTTTTCCCCAGCTTATACAACTATATGTAAACACATCACACATTTCTACTGGTTTCATTTGTTTTTAACAATATAAACGTGTACTATACATATTACTTTGCAAAGAACTTATTTCTTAAAAATAGACATTCTTTCAAGTCTGTAGTTTTTCCATGCATGCATTTTTATAATTTTACATAAGTAGGATCATAGCATACATGTTGGGAGACTCTTAGCACAGTCTTGCCTCTCTCTTGTTTTCTTTCTACCTTCTTCCTCTCCCTCTTTTTTTCTCTCTCCACCTCCACACCCCTGGTATAATTGTGTATCCTTCTGTGTTTTTCTCCATGCTCTTGATCTCTGGATCATACCTATGCATATATACATACACATTCTCATAGTTTCAGTCATATCTTTTGCCCATTATACTTTTTTCATTTATCTTTGCTAGTCAATTTGTAGAGCTTTGTATATTGTAGATATTAAATTACGTTAGTATTTGAAATCATGTTTTGAAATAAATTATTTATTTTTTGACTTCTGTGTGACAAAATGACATGCCAAGTCCTTTCTTGTTGCTATTGTTGGTGCTCTTGTTGCATAAGAAAGTCTATTAGTCCTGCCTGGCTGGCATGGCTCAGTGGTTGAGCGTTGACCTATGAACCAGGGGGTCACACAGTTTGATTTCCGGTCAGGGCACATGCCGGGTTGCAGGCTCGATCCCCAGTGTGGGGTGTGCAGGGGGCAGCCGATCAATGATTCTCTTTCATCATTGATGTTTCTATCTCTCCCTCTCTTTCTGAAATCAATAAAAATATATTTTAAAAAAAGTCTATTCGTTCTGTTTTTAAAAGTCTGTTAGTTCTATTTTTCCCTTATATAGCATCTGAGGTTCCCAGAGTGGTTTTACCATATTATGAAGAGTAGCACATGGCGTTAGGTTGTACATGTAGCCTAGATTTTCCTTTAAGTTTGTATTCTCTTTACACTAAAGTCTTTTGTTCATCTGGAATTTATTTTTGATGTGGTGGGAGAATCCAACTTTCTTTTCCTCCAGATGGAAAGCTGGTTGTGTCAGTACTGTATGTTGAAATGCCATTCTTTTTTCCAATACATTGAAATATTACAGTAACAAATATAGGGGCCTTTTCTAGAATCTGGTTCTCTATTCTTTCCATGAATATATTTTTCAATTTCTATGTCAAATGCCATATCGATTTCATTCTAACAAATTCGGAGCATATTATTATCTGGTAATGGAAATTCTCCTTCCTCTTAGTTTTCTTGTTTATTCTTGTGTGTTTGTTTGTTTTTTGTCAAATGAATTTTAAGATTATTGTATACAATCTTCTCTCCCACCCAAAATTTAGTATTTTTTAAAAATATATATTTTATTGATTTTTACAGAGAGGAAGGGAGAGGGATAGAGAGTTAGAAACATCGATCAGAGAGAAACATCGATCAGCTGCCTCCTGCACACCTCCTACTGGGGATGTGCCCGCAACCAAGGTACATGCCCTTGACTGGAATCAAACCTGTGACCCTTCAGTCCGCAGGCTGATGCTCTGTTCACTGAGCCAAACCAGTCAGGGCCAAAATTTAGTATTTTAATTAAGATTGCGTTAAATGTGTTTATTAACTTTAGGAAAATTGACATTTTAATAATGTTAAGTCTTTCCTCTGCCAGGAAAATTGGTCAACCCATCTAAATGTTGTAGCCCTTGCACATTATCTGGCTTTGGCATATCTGTATTTAGGCTGAATAGCACCACATGCTTAGCTGTGAACTAAAGCCATCTGCTGTAGAAACAGGACCTCCTTAATGCTTTATATTAAAATTACTAGAGGCCTGATGCATGAAATTCGTGCAAGAGTAGGCCTTCTTTCCCCCAACTTCCCGGCTTCCCTCTGGCACCTGGGACCTGGGCTTCCCTCTGGCACCCAGGACCCCAGCTTTCCTTGCAGCCCCAGCTTTGTCTGGAAGATCGTCCGGAAGGACATCCAGTCTAATTAGCATATTATGCTTTTATTATTATAGATATTTCAGCTGGCTCTATTTTGGCTTTCATCTGTAGTGCAGTCGACATGTGATTATTGTTAGCAATGCTTTTTCCCATCATCCTACCAGACTCAACACTAGGTTTTCAAACACATATGGCTACTCCCTTAAGGTGTAAGGTTGTTGCTGCTCTGGCTAGAGTAGTTATAAATTCAAATAGCATTTTGTGTCACTGTAGGATCCACCTGATTCTGATATTTGACAAGTAATCTTCCTCTGACCTAGCTAAAATCCACTTTAATCTCTTGGATTCTAATAATTTTGCAATATACTTTTCTAAAATTGGTTATTCTCCTTTGGTATCAAACCAGGAGGAAAGCCTTAAGTGTGCATTGTTTTTGGATTCATTATATACTCATGGTGAGTTGGTTTTCTTTAGTATCTTGGATGAGGAATTAAGCAGGAAATGATCACTGCAGGTTTTTTTTTTAATTTTAAACATATTTTTTATTGATTTCAGAGAAGAAGGGAGAGGCAGAGAGAGATAGAAACATCAATGATGAGAGAGAATCATTGGTTGGCTGCCTCCTAATTGTGTCCCACTGGGGATCGAGCCCACAACCTGCGCATGTGCCCTTGACCGGAATCAAACCTGGGACCCTTCAGTCCGCAGGCTGTTGCTCTATCCACTGAGCCAAACCAGCTAGGGTGATCACTGCAGTTTTTGAGTAGAATATTCACTGTGCAACTACTAGTGAACATCTACCCTTCAAAACTGAACATGGGTACTGAAAGCAAGAGTACTACTGGGAGCAAATATACTTTGAAACATTTGAAAGTAATAAAGAGAATGATTATGATAGTTTATAAAACCCTGATGTTCCTGTCAGAATAGGACTGAACTGTTCTGTTCAGCATGGCATTCATTTCTTAATAATTGAGGATGTATTACTCAGTAGTAAGGTGCCCTTCCTTTTGCTGATAAATTTAACAAGACCAAATTAAAAGGAACTTATTGTCAACAATTTAAAAATTCTCATCTTTAAAGGTGCTTAAACACATCATATTTTTTAAGATTTCTTTTTTGTCTAACTTACCTTTCAAATTATGTTGATATTCAATGGTCTGTTGTAGCCCTTTTACCATATTATGAAGAGTAGCACATTCTAAAACATAAGAGATAAATGTATTTGAAGATTATTTGCTTTCATTTTGGAATCATTCTCTCAAAGTTGAAATACATAAAATAAAATACTGTTTGTGACAATGAGCAGATCTTAACAAAGCTATCAGGCATCTCAAAGTAAATTATGTAACAACCACCCTTAAAGTCAAATGCAATTCAGGATTTAGTAAAGAGGTCTCTAAGGCACAATAAATGCAGTAGGACAGGGAGCCGCTCATGTACCTCAGCAAGACCTGCCCTAGAAGTGAGGCACACGTGGACTGCCTGGGGGACTTTGAGGAGCGCATCCATGCGAGTTTCCCATGAAAGAACATCCCGGGGACAGAGAGCCGAGGTACATCAAGTTTTGTTCAAAGATAGACAGTCAGAGCTGGTGAGGTGGCATTTGGGAGGAGATGCTGCTTTACTTCCTCATCTCCAGACCTGTCCTTTTAGTATTTTTATGCCTGAGTTCCAGGGCAAGGGAGTAGCAACTAAAGAAGTAAACACCCAACATGGTGAGTGACAGGGCATCAGCACTTTGGTGCCAGTGACTTCTCCACCGTGGGAGACAAAGCCTTGCAAGCATTAGTGCCCTGATGTGTGCATGAAGCTTTCAGTGTACTCTTGGGTACCACCAGCAACAGCTAAGCCTTTGATGGGTATCATTCCCACCATCTACTCAGACAAAGTTCCCACTATCCTCCATTTTTCCCCTCTCTTGCTATTTCCCAGTAACGACGATGGTCAAATTACATGTGACAATGCCTGCTTCGCGTATGTTACCATGTTAGCTGCTACAATTAAAAAATTAAGGGGGCATAGGCTCCATTATCACTTGTCTTTGTGTCTTTTAGAAGCATGAGCCCAGTAATTCATGCAATATGGGACCTCAGTACTCAGCAAATTGAAAGCCGAGTCCTGAAACTGGAAGTATACTGCGTGTTTTTAAAATGTGCATTTCACAATTTGAACACAAGGCGGCTCTCCCAACACATTTTTTTTTTTTTAAACAAAGGAAACTGGCTCAATAAGGAATTGTTCCTTAGGACACCATTCATTATTTTAGAATAATAGCTTTCAATTCTCTTTGCAAACATTTACCCAATTATAATTTCTAATAGACTTCATAATATAGTTTGAACAATACTATTGTCATATTCAACTCTTAAAAACTATAGTTCAGAATACTACTTCTTATCCTATATAATTTAATCAATTGTTGAGCTCAAATTTAGGCTCTACCATTAACTAGTAATTTGCATATTAACACCTATTTCATAAAGCAGTTGAAAATGTTAAATACAATTATGCATGACAATAATTTTTATAGAACTTGGTTCTCAATACTAATATTATTTATCATCTTGAAATGGCAAAGAAATTTTTTATCTGGTGTCAAATGTGGAAAATAAAATATCAAGATCTCATTCTTTATTGTTGAACAAATTAAACTGTATATAGAGTTTGTTCTTCTCTAAGTGAATTAGCACACACTTGACTTTATGAGTTGTCAATCTTACTAGTTCGTTTACTTCTGCTGCGTATTATCTAGCCAAAAGGCCATTAGAATTAAAATGAGAACTGGATGTTTAAAAAGTGTTTAATTATATTTTCAAATATAAAATACACATGAAATGCAAAAATAGTGAAAAATGACTATCTCTGCAATCCTGCCCCCAAACTAACCAGTGTCCCTCCCTGAAAGCAAGCCCCGCAGAGAAACGCCACCTCCTCAGGGCCCAGCCCTAGCGCAGGGAACCCAGGCTCCTGTCAGGCACAGTGAGGGTGGGTGCAGCTGAGAGGGCAGCTATGGGGAGCTGAGCAACATGAGGCGTGGGTGTCTCAGAACACAGGGGAGAGCGTCAGACTGGGACTGCCCGTTTTAACACTAAAATTTTTACCCACCTGATACAGTGGGGCCTTGATTTACAAGTGTCCCGACTAACGAGTTTTTTGAGATCCCAGCTGTCTCTCGGCCAATTTTTTGCATTGAGTTGATAGAGTAATTTGAGTTAACGAGCTCCTTAACGAGCTCAGTCTCAACGAATTAAACTTGTAAGTCAAGGCCCCACTGTATTTATTTTGGAGTTATTGTGAGGCAGGAATTCAACTGTATTTCCCCCCCATGACTTTGAAAGCCTGACTGATTCTTAGATTTGCCATTTCTTAGCTGAGTGGACTCAGATAAATTATTTAACTTCTTTTATCTTATTTTTCTTCATTACTGACGTGGAGTAATAAAATCAGTCCTACCTGTCCTTTAGGGCTATATTAAGGATAAAGTGACAGTCTAGAAAGTGCTGTGTGAATTTTAAATATTTTACAAATGCATGGTGCAATATTAATCACTGTTGTACCCAAAAGCACTCTCATGATATTAGTATTTTTCCAGGCAGCCAAGAACTAACCTTCTTTAAGTGAGGCCTCATTTGTTTGCATTCCTTTTAATAAGCAGTTAGCTTTTTCCAACTGCATATTCAGTACGTTGTTCCTTCCAGAAGTTTCTACCATTTTCTGTAGAGAAAACAATATATATCATAACCAAATCAATGCTGTTAATTTGATTTTCTTACCTAAGCATATAAAGACTAATGAAAATACAGACTATTTAATATCTGACATAACTTGAACTCCCTTCTTTCTAACCATTCAACCCTCAGTCCCATGGTTAACAATTCTTTATGTGTGTTTCCCAAATATTTTATGATTATACTAGAGAACTGGTGCACAAAAATTTGTGCACTCGGGGGTGTCCCTCAGCCCAGCATGTGCCCTCTTGCAGTCTGGGATTCCTCGGGGGATGATCACCTGCTGGCTTAGGCCTGCTCCCCGGGGGATCGGGCCTAAGCTGGCAGTCAGACATCCCTCTGGCAGCCCAGGAGCCCTTGGGGGATGTCCACTTGCCAGTGGGGATTAGGCCTAAGCTGCAGTCGGACATCCTTAGTGCTGCTGAGGAGGCAGGAGAGGCTCCCACCATCACTGCTGTGCTGGCAGCCATCAGCCTGGCTTGTGGCTGAGCAGAGCTCCCCCTGTGGGAGTGCACTGACCACCAGGGGGCAGCTCCTGCATTGAGCGTCTGCCCCCTGGTGGTCAGTGTGTGTCATAGCGACCAGTCATTCCCAGTCGTTCTGCTGTTAGGGTCAATTTGCATATTACCCTTTTATTATATGCCTGGTGCATGGGTGGGGGCTGGCTGGTTTGCCCTGAAGAGTGTCCCGGATAAGGGTGGGGGTCCCGCTGGGGTGCCTGGACAGCCTGGGTGAGGGGCTGAGGGCCGTTTTCAGGTTGGCCACAGCCCCTTCAGGGTGGGGGTCCCCGCTGGGGTGCCTGACCAGCCTGGGTGAGGGGCTGATGGCTGTTTGCAGGCTGGCCACGGCCCCCAGCCACCCAAGTTCCCAGTGAAGGCTGGCTGGAAGCAGGTATCTGGGATTTATTTGTCTTCTATAATTGAAACTTTGTTGCCTTTAGCAAAGGCCACAGCCGGCCAGGGCAGGCAGGAAGCTTGGCTTCCTCCATCGCCAGCGCAACCAAGCCTCCTGCTTGCTCCAGCTCCAAGGCTGCCAGCCGCCATCTTGGTTGGGTTAAATTGCATATAGTCGCTCTGATTGACTGGTGGGTGTGGCTTGGGGCATAGCAAAGGTATGGTCAATTTGCATGTTTTTCTTTTATTAGATTAGATACCCGAGAGAAGGATCATATTATACTCTGCTCTGTACTATGTTGCACTTAGTACTATTCTCTTGAGATGATGTCATATAAGCACATATAGGTCTACCTCATTCTCTTAATAGCTGCACTGAGTTTCATGTATGCATATTCTGCAATTTATTTAAGTAGTTCACTATTGAGGAAAATTTGTGTTGTTTCCACTTTTTTGCCCTTGCAGACAATAAATAAACATTCTTGAATATATCTCTCTGATATCTTTGTGAATAGTATAACAGCTGCTGTAAACTCATCAAACACCTTCAGAAATTATCAATTCATGACCAGTCTCATATCTTCTATAGCCACTTCCCTGTTGTCTTCACTTCTGAATTTATCTCAAAGCAACTCCCTGACATTATTTTATTTCATCTATAAATATTACCATCTTTATGTGTCTGTAAGAGATAAGACTCTTAAAAAATACCATATCATGAAACTTGTCCAGAGTTGTGGAGGGTGGACTTCAAGTGGGTCTGCTTGTAGGCAAAAGAGAAGGAAAGGGAAGAGGTAGAATAGGAAAGACTAAAAAACCTTTTAGTCATAATGGTAAGACACTGAGGACTGAGTCTACTTCAATTCTTACTAAATCATTCCTGAGTTTATGGCCATCTTGGGCATTTAAGTAGGTATTTTCCCTTTAACTTTAGCAAAACTGTATCAATTATTTATTGCCTTGACCCAGAAACATTTTGATGCATTAGTACAAATGAGCCAAAACCATATATATTTTAAATACGGATTTTTAAGGGCTTACTTAGCAAAGTACATTCCCATTGTCTTTACCCTGCTCATTTTGGGTTGTACATTTTTCTTTCTTTCCAACTCCTTCGACTGGCAAAATCTGTTCCACTTTTTCTCTATTCACTTCAACTGTTTGATATCTTTACATACCTTTTCTATCTGTGAGAAGTCATTTATAAGTTTGTCAAGATTCACACTGCTAATCTTTTTCACACATCCATCGCTGCTTTGATCCATGTTCAAACTAGTGCAGAGTAAATACTGTTAAAACAAACAAATAACAAATAAAATCTAAAGCACTACAACAGTAGTAATAAATACTAACGTTTCTGTCCTCTACTCAGAGGACCTACTTGAGCTCCATTCCACTCAGAATTTTTGTTATGCCCATTAACAATAGCCAGTGCGTTACGGCTTCTCCACTTCTTCAGCTCCACCCTCACTGAGTTTTCTCTAAAGAAATCTAACATTAGTGTACTGATATATACACATATAAAAATTATTTGTCCCTACCATATAAAAATTAATTATGCCACTGTTCAACACTCATCTCCTTGCCATCAGTATGGCTGGACTTAAAAATCTGATATATTATTAAATCTTTAAACATAGGTATTCTCAATTTAAGGTATTTAAAATACCTCTCATGCCACAAATATTGTTGCTGTGTTTCCTGGTACTGTGGTTATTGCTATGGACTGATTTGTGAACTTCTCCCAAATTCATGTGTTGAAGTACTGTTATATCCCAAAGTGACTGTCTTTGGAGATAGGGTCTTTAGGAAATAATTAAGGTTAAATGAGGTCCTAAGGGTGGGGCCCTTATCTAATAGGACTGTGGCCATATGAGAAGAGGAAGACGAGGCATTCCTGTACACACAAAGAAAGGACTAACTTTGCAGCCCTATCTCTACCATCCATTAAAGAAGAAAAATTAAGAAAACATTTTAAAAAAGGAAGATCTGATGCAGGCCACTGTGGAAGACAGTATGGAGTTTCCTCAAAAAGTTAAAAATGGATCTCCCATTCGACCCAGTAATCCCACTTCTAGGACTATATCCCAAGAAACCTGAAACACCAATCAGAAAGGATATATGCCCCCCTATGTTGATAGCAGCACAATTTACAATAGGTAAGATTTGGAAACAATCTAAGCGCCCATCAGCAGATAAGTGGATTAAAAAACTGTGGTACATCTACACAATGGAATACTATGCTGCTGTAAAAAGGAAGGAACATTTACCATTTGCAACAGCATGGATGGAACTGGAGATCATTATGTTAAGCGAAATAAGCCAGTCAGAGAAAGATAAATATCACATGATCTCACTCATATGTGGGATATAATGATCAACAAAATTTGATGAACAAGAATAGATCCAGAGACAAATGGCAGGGGAAGGAGGGAGGGTAGAGAGCAACCAAAGGACTTGTATGCATGCATATTAGCTTAACCAATGGATACAGACACCAGGGCGGTGGCGGCTTGCCCGGTGTGGGAATGGTTGGGGGGTTTGGGGGGGGGAGTCATGCGGGGGAAAAAGGACACATATGTAAAACTTTAGACAATAAATAAAAGAAAAGAAATGTATTTCTCATCCTTTTGTTTTTGCCTTTTAAAATATTACCAGCCTTCTCTGATAACAAATTCTTCATTTTCTACAAAAGCCTTTTGTGTTAACATCAACCACCCGGGAGGGGTCCTCAAACTACGGCCCGCGGGCACACATGCAAATACAAATATTGTATTTGTTCCCGTTTTGTTTTTTTACTTCAAAATAAGATATGTGCAGTGTGCATAGGAATTTGTTCATAGTTTTTTTTTAAACTATAGTCCGGCCCCTCCAACGGTCTGAGGGACAGTGACCTGGCCCCCTGTTTAAAAAGTTTGAGGTCCCCTGGTTTACCTCTAGGGGAGGATGGGAGCGGGCTCCAAGAAGTTAAAAATGATCCAGAATATTGCTCTGTTATTATTGTTGCAATAAAGGATATAAACAAAAAGAGTTTAGGCTCTAGAAAAAAGAAAAAAAAAGCAGGCGCTAGT